AAGCAAAGAAATTAATAGCTACATTGAGGGAGGATTGTAAATATCAGCTGGACATTATCCTATTTTAGTAAAGCAATTCTTGACCCCAAAATGCTGAAGATTATGTAATAGGAAAGATGAGGAGGCCAGATTGGTAGTTCACTTCAATTATGCTTTCTTCTAAGAAACTGCTACTATATATCCATTTCTGTTGCCATTCCAAAGAAGATATAGATCAGCCTCTCTAGCAATTTCACCCAATCTGCTAGTTTTTTCTACCTTATGGAAACAAAACAATTAAGTTTCACTCTACAAAACTTTTCCTGCCCATGAAGAGGCACTGGAAAAGAGAAAGAACGAAGGAAGAAAAGGAAAATTGATAAACCTGGCCAATAGATTCTAATTCAACCAATTGACCAATCAGTGAATCCGAGAAGTTTGCTAAATCTTCTGTCTCTGAACAGTAAACTATCATCCTACTGCTGGGTAAAAACTAACTGGTAGAATCTTCATGCCAGTCTTTCCTTCATAATAATCAGACTTTAAAGTATTTAGGTCAGTGTTTCTCAACCTTAGCAACTTTAGGAAGTGTGTGGACTTCAACTCCCAGAATTCCCCAGCCAGGTGTTGAAATCCACATATCTTCAAATTGCTAATGTTGGGAAACACTGATCGAGATTCACTGTCAATTTGTCCACCCTTGACTTAGACTTGACAAAAAACTTCTTCCCACTTATTTGCTATGCCTCTGGCCCTTCTTGTTCTCTGAGCTGAGATGAGAGAAAAACCAGCACATTGGATCACAGTGACAGCCACCCATTTTATCTCTATTTTACTGCCTAGAAAAGGTGCAATCCATCTGGTTATTGCTGAGGGGCCTTTGTAGGATTTTTTTTTTCAGTCTCAAACATTGGACAGAAATGTTAACCTTCAGAGAAAATTCACTTAGTTCACATGTTAATGTGAGTTTATTTAATTTTCACGTCTCAAAGCTTTGCACAAACTAGAACATAATTAAACAGTGATATCTGCAGCTTTTCATTTTTTTTACAATATAACCTATCAAGAATACCTAAGAAAATGTGTATATTGGAATAGAAATATATACAGAAATATGGGGGGGGGAATGAACATTAGAAACAGCTGCTTGTCATATTAGAAATGCACAAAACATTGGTTAGCAGTGCCCACTAAAATGAGTGTTGGGCTTTATAGGAAGGTTTATATTGGTCTTGAAAGAAAAAAAGTCAACTTCACTTAAAAAGGTAACAATACCAACATAATACTGGAAAAATGTGAAACCAGATAGAATCAAACTTGACAAATTTGGCTATCTATTATTAATGTGATTTTTAGCCGTTACTTTATGAAAGAATATAGATAATAATAACTTTATTCTTGGTCCAGTAACTGTGATTACACAATAAAAAAGCCAACAATAGCATCAAAGGGGTCCGCATATATTTATTTTTTCTGTGTATGAAATATACCATATTTTTCCATCTATAAGATGCACCCTTGTATAAGATGCCCCCCAATTACTGGTATTTCTCGGCACCATCAAACAAGGGACGCAACTTCCTCCAATCAGATGATGCTCTGTGGGCTTAGTCCCACCCACCCCCTCGGTCGTCAATCATTGTACTGAGGTGGCTTCCTGGGGCCTCTTGTGGCTTCAGCCCAAGCTGTGCTGGTGAAAAATGGGTCATAGAAGGCAGCTTCAGTGGGACCGGCAGCATCTTTGGGGCAGGGCGATCCTCCAGCACCAAGTGGCATCTTGGAGGCTTTCTCCCCACCCAGGCAGCAACTCAGGCCAGCGATATCCTCCTGCACCAGGCGGCATGGCAGCGGCATGTAAAGAACCCACACAGGCATGCCCTGGGCTGCTGAGGTTACCATTATTTTTTTGTGTATAAGATGCTGCATTTGTATAAGATGCACCTGATTTTTGAACAGGGTGTTTGCAGGAAAAAATAGCATGGAAAAATATGGTATGTAGATTTGCCTTCTATAGGATTGAGCAACAGGCAGTAGATCAACCAGAGAATGAACACAGCATTTCTAAGCACAACTCAATATACAGCTTATGATGATCTAATTCTGAATTCTAGAATTCTCTCCACCTCATGAAGTTGTCTCTCCCTCTCCTTCTCTCTCTCCCTTTTCCTTGTTTTTGGATTACTGCTAGTAGAGAAAGTCATTGATTCAACAAACAAGCAACATGTCTAATGAGGGAAAGGGACTAGAAAGAAAGGCAAAAAGACTGCTTCCTCCCCATCACATTTTTTAAAAGTATACAGTTTATGTCAGGGAGTGAGAACACTCAGTATTCCTGGCTGTTAATCATGTTCATAGTAGTTGCTGGGAGTTATCTCCTATTCTTGATCTAAAGCAGATGCGGCCCGCGAAGTGGTTTCATGTGGCCCAGGAAGCCCAGGAAGCCATCCTGGAAACAGTGAGGGAATGGCCCCCGCTGCCTTGGCCCTGGCCCAGGCCGGCTGGGAGCCAATGTACAATTTTGTGGTGGCCATCTATGCTGAAATGCATTCAGTCTTAGGTCCACAAGACCATCTGGAAACAGCGAGGAACCAGCCCCTGCCGCATCAGCCCTGCCCCCTGGGTGCATGCTGGGGAGGTGTCACCCCTTGTGAAGAATGAAGAAATGCACTATTGCCTGCAAGTGGCCAGCAAATGGCCCTCACCTACTTTACATGTCCGGTTCGATGGGCTCCAGGAGAGGGCTTTCGGCAGGCAGCGAGGCACTCTCCTAACAGCGCCAAGAGCTGAGCCAGGTGGTGTGAAACTGATGAGAAGTGCAATGCTGCCTAGCCCCCAGCCTGCCCAGTTTCAGCAGGCAGCAAGGTGCAAAGGAGAGGAGAGCGCCCCACTGCTTGCCGAAACTGGGCAGGCTGGGGGCTGGGTGGCATCACGCTTCTTTTTGGATTCGTGCTACCTGGTTCAGCCTCTTGGCGCTGTGAGGAGAGCGCCCCGCTGCCTGCCGAGACTGGCCAGAATAGGGACTGGGTGACATCGTGCTTCTTTTCGGATTTGCGCCACCTGACTCAGCCTCTCGGCACTGTGAGGAGAGTGCCTCGCTGCCTGCTGAAACTGGGCAGGCTGGGGGCTGGGCGGCATTGCACAGGTAACATTGATTGTCACACTGCTCATGGCATCCCCTCTCCCAGAGCCCACCAAGCCGGATATGTGAAGTAGGTGAGGGCCATGTGCTGGCCATTTCCATGTGATGGTGCATTTCTTCATTCCTCACTAAGGGTGACACTTCCCCAGCTGCATTTCTTGCCTGTTTTTCTCCCTCCCTCATCTCAAATATTTTCCCATTACTCTGTACTTAGGAAGGAAAAAAGGAAAGAAGGAAAGAAGGAGAGGGAGGGTCTGAGAAAAGTCTTGCCTTTGTCCTGCACTGCTGCCCTTTTACCATCCCCTTGCCCCCTCCTCCTGGCCTATCCTGGGGGTCTCCCATCCTATTGCTAAGGAAGCTTTGGATACAAAGTCGGGTCTCCTCCCATGGAGAGAGGATGGGCCTCCCTCTAACTTTGCCCTCGTACCCATCATGAACAACCTGGCTAAGGAAAGCAAGCACAGCAGCAGCAGCCTTGAGGAGGAGGTAAGTGCAGCTGGGCACCCCTTTGGGGGAGTGGGACTGGGCTTGGTGCTGCGGGTGCTCAAGGGCCAGGCTGGGCATTTGACCTCTGCTGCCCAGGGCTCCGGGCAGCCCATACCACCATCCAGCCCCCCCCACATGACCTGAGAGGAACAGTCAGGCTCCTCCAGTGGACAATGCCTTGGCATTTGCCTTGGTCCCACCCCTTTCTGGCAGAGACCCTCAGATCTGTCCCACTCCTGCCCAGGCCCCCACAGGCACTCTTGATACGAATAATGTAGAGCTGGCCATGCCCACCCAATAGGCCACACCTATTCCATTCATGCCCACCCAGTAGGCCACACCCACCTTGCCCCCCCCGAGGGCAACCGCACTGCTGATGTGATCCTCAGTGAAATTGTAGTTTGACACCCCTGATCTAAAGTATATAGAACATTTTGTACTAGGTTACATTCTAGGAACCATTAAAAATTTCTGGGTTTCCAGAAATATTTGAATACATTAAGAATCATTAGGAAACTAAAGCAGAGGTGAACATTTTATTAATTTATTCTGGAGAATTTTAAGACTGCTTTGAAATGGTTGATCAGGAATGAATATAAATTACAAAACCAGACAGGCTTTTTGGGATGTAAAAGATCTATAAACACAGCTCCCAGTTAACCCTGCTGAGGATGTTGAGGATGGAAAGTAGTTTTATTAATGTTTGTTAACCTTGAAATTTAAGTCAAGCCTCGTTATTCTGATAGAACCTCACCCTCTGTATTTACATGATGCTTGAGTATCATGTAGGTGGGAGAGCAGAAGAACAGTTACAGAATAAAGCCATTATTTCTGTATTAGGTATAGGTTTAGGTAAGTCCCAAGTGTGTATCCCCAAAGGCTTGCCTTTTGTGGCTGTCTAGCATTTGCTGTTTGTAGCTGTTTAGCATTTGCTGTGGAAGATCAGAAACCTTTTGCTCCTTGTGTTTTAGACAAATGTTCCATTCTTCTGGACCTGACAATTTTCCCCCAAAGTTCTCCATCAAACTCTTAATAATAATTTCAGACCCAGGTCCCAAATCCTCTTTCTATCCTCTTTAACCACATGACTCAACTCACACAACCACCACATGTTGCTCTTATTTATTTTCACCTCTTTACATATACTGCTTGGCAAGGCTAATACAATCGTATTTATCAAAGGCAGATTGCAGACAATTGACTGAGAATGGTCAGCATGCATATGACTAGAGGAAGGGGGTAAACCGAGGGTAAATAACTGAGCAAATACTTTGGGTGCCAGGGAGCCTACTGTGAGTTTGCAGGAGCTGGGTGTTTTCTTCCTCTGCATCTCTTCCCTCCTCCTCTTTTCTCTCCCTGAGGCTGAAGGGAGGGAGGTGGACAGACGGGGGATCAGAGAGGGTCTTTGACGTCAGACATGCCCTATAAAAACCCAGAATAAGAAGGGGAAACAGTGCTGGAAGCTAAGCCAGTTCATCAGCAAGGATGCCAACTCCAAACGCCTCCAGTGCTTCAGCCAAAGGCTTCCGGCGGGCAGTGTCAGAGCTGGACTCTAAACAAGCTGAGGCCATCATGGTAAGCAAGGATGCTCTCAGCCATCCCTCGGATGAGATGTTGATTTGCAGAGAGAGACAGATGTAGGGAAGGAAGAGAAACCAACTTCGTATCATGAGCATCAACCTATTGTGGGAGAATGCCAAAGCTAGGCAGATCAGTCCTTAGAAATGTTGGCGCTAATGATTACTACCAAAGAGTAATGCAGTTGCCCAGAAATATGCCATTTATAGAAGAATAAGTGAAGAAATAGAAAAAAATATATTATAAAATGGCAAAAATGTGGAATCACATAAGAGCTAGGCTAAAACTAGAAAAATGACAACGAGCTTTCTTCTATTACTATATTGCTTGAATTGCTTTGCATGTCTTATTGTTGCCAAGCACTGGAATTTTACACTATTTTACTTTAGTAGAAATTTGGTGTGGTTATATACCTGGCTTTATTTGCTGCTTTTTGCCTGAGAGAATAATGATTCATATCCAATGGCAAATTGCTAATACCTTCTTTGTAACACTTGGACCTCACTTCAGTTCGGCATTTTTCCTTGCTGCAGTATCTGAGTTAAGTCTGCACTTTGCTGCTAGTAGATATGCACAGAGGGAAGGTTATAACTCCCCACAAGACTTGATGTAACTGTATCAGACTGTATTAATGTTTTATAGATATTGCTAACTGTAACTTTATGTATGTGGCCATTGCACTTCTAGCACCAAAGGTAATTTTCTTTACCTTTTTAATTTACTTATATTTTTGACTGCCTGTCATCAAGTACATTGGAATCAAATACTGCATGTATGTGTGTTAACCAACCTTCTGAGTATTCTAGTTCATTAACCTGGAATATTTATGAAGATGTCAGATAAACTATTCCAGCATAGCAGCTTGAGCATAAAACACCATTGATTACATTTCTCTTGCTTTCTTACATTTCCAGTGAGCGCATCAATCTATAGCAGAATATGCTTTGTTCCTATATTGCAGACCCATCTTCCAAGAAATTGCATTTCACCACAGGAAAGTATCTGTGTTTGATGCCAACAAAATCTTGCACTGTGCAGCAAATTACTGTGAGGATTATTTGTGTAGGAAGAAAGGATTAAGGCTCCGCCCTTCATGGTCCTGAAACAAAGTACTTATCATGGTTATTCTTTAGAAACAACCACAAAATATAATGTAATTAGGCAACCGATGTTAGTATCTGAAGGACAATCTGTTTGTTGAAATAATTCTGATTCTCTTTGGGTTAGCAGTTTCATATTTACTCTAGATGTACACTATTATTGGTTTTAAGTAGTAACGTCACTTCAATGAATAAAAGTTTGTTGATTGGCTCAATGTGTTAAGTTCTACAAGTGACAGTGCTTTATACAGTTTTCAGCAGAAATCATATATTCTCCTATAGTACATTTTTTGTAATTAATTAGCAAGAGACCTTAATCAAAATTGTCTATGAAACTAAATTAATGTGCCTGAGAAGGAGAAGTTTTTAAATTTGTTTTTGTTAAAAACAATGGAACGCTTGCCATAAAGTTATTTTTAAGTCCAAGAGACGTTTTCATAGCGGTTTTCAGTATAACAAAGATATTTTGGAGGAGCAGAAGGAGAGGCAGGGAGTCAACATTGGAAAACATCTAAAACCAGGTTAGCAGAAGTGATCTTAAAACAGCTCTTTGGATAACTTTTTAAAGGATTTTTTTTTTAACAAGAGAATGGTAGGAAAGAAACAGTAGACAACATTTTAGTTCCATTTAAATAAAAGATCATAGTTTCTCTACTGCCACTTCTCTGAAAAAGCATATTGCAGTTCTGATTTCATGCTATTTTTAAAAATATATAAAGAAGAATCATAATCAATTATTATTTTATATTTAGGGATGAGAAAGGAGTTAATATCAAGGTGGGAGAATCTGTTTCAGGGATGTTGCAGTAAAATATCGGTTGTATTAAACAATTCAGGTGAAATTCCAGCAGATGCATTTGCGCAACACTAATCTTGTTAACCTAGGTCAGGGATAGGCAACCTTGGCTCTTTTATGACTCGTGGACTTCAACTACCCCTGACCTAGGTTAACCTGGATCTTGCTTTTATTTCTTGTGGTATAACACATTTTATGAATCTAGCCCATTCAATTAGTTTATGGCTGACCATGCTGTGTAAATCCACAACATGGATTTAATTCAGTAGCCAGCTAAACATATTGTATAAATTGTATTGTATTTAGTTACATATCTAATTCATTCAACTTTCAGAAATTAGAAATTCTTGGTATTTTATACAACTTCTTAATTTTTTTCTTTTTTTATGTTATACTGAATGCTATTTATCTTTGACATCATTTTTTTTCTTTTTTATGATCACTGGCATAAAAAAATAGAAAAGGTAGAGAAATAGATAATCTGAAATAGAAACCAATAGATATTCCTCCGAGGAGATCAGTTGATGAACAAGGGTTATCTCTATGCAAGCCTCACAGCAACGCTTTGAAGCAGTAAAGCAAGTGGATTTGATTTTTAAAATCTCCCCACTTTGTGAACTGAAATTGTGGTACACTGTACCTGTTGAACTGATACAGCCATAGTCAGTTTCACTGAGCTTTGATTCAAAGTGTTTCTCTTTTGGGGGGTGTCCTTGAGTGAGTTTTGACTGCTGGAGACTGCCTGAATAAATCCCTGCAGTTTTTCTGCTTGCCTGCTTCCTAAGATTGAGAGAGAGGGAACAAACCCAGATCACCCAGATGGCACTGTATCTAAAGTAGGACTAGAACTCACAGGTCTCTCAATTTCTAGCCTGATGTCTTAACCACGACACCAAACTGGCTCTCTAGCCCTGCAAAACGTTTGCTCATTCTAACTGTGCACTGGTTTTGGCTAATGCACAGTCCTTACAATTTTGTTTAGAGCAGGAATAAGCAAGGTGGAACTGTCGGAGTGTTTTGGATCTCAGCTTCTGTTAACTTCAGCCAGTTAGGTCAGTCATAGACGATTGTAAAAATTCTGGTCCAAAACATCAGAAGGTTCCTAAATTGTTTTCTTCTGTTTTAGGGCAACAAAGGTGATACTGACTTTGGTTTGCTTTCTCTGTCTGCAGCCAGGAAATATATTTTGCGAGATCAGTCAAGTGCCAGGCAAATGCCACCCCGCCACCCCAACAGTGATGTTCACTGTTGCCTTTGTGCAAAGAATGGAGCTCAATTCTCCTGCACAAGCAAAGATATAAAATCCTGTTCCACCCTTCAGGAGAGGGCAGGTTCCAAGGTTTATTCATATGTAAAGATAACCAACCAACTCTTAGATGTAAGCAGGCTAGATTCACTGCTTTGTAAAACACAGGTGTTTTTTTTTAAACTGAGCAGATGCAAGGGCATTGCTTGAAATCATACTAAAAAAAAAAGGAGGCTTAAAGCTACCATATTTATCTTTAATTTCTTTTGCCTGAATAGGAATAGGGAAGTAATGCTACGCAATAAGGTAGAAAGGTCTTTTGGCCTCAGATGGCTATTGCATGACCCGTAATAAAACACCGGCTTGAAATCACGGCTTAAAAAAGCACTATTAGGAATAAAACCTGACACTTTCAGCTTTCATTATCCTGTCTTCTGTATTTAATGTAGCAGGTTGCATTTCAGATAAGGTTAACTTATGTCTGATAATCAGTGTAGTATGAAATTGTGGTTCCTCCCCCCCCCTTTTTTTTCTGGAAATAAAAGCTAACATCATCATCAATCTTCCTCAATAGAGAAAACATCTTCCGCTGAGTGTTGGTGAAAAATTTTTTAAAATGTAGTAACCGATACCTTCTGTTCAAAGAAGGTAGAAGATGAGTGTATCCTATTTCTCATAGATGAAAAAAGCAAGTTTTTAAGAGACTTAAATAGCACATCAAGTTAAATGACTAAAACAGCGTCACCATAAAATCAACCAAAAGTCCACAGTCCCATATAGGAGTTTTTCCTCAACCTAATATTGTCTAGACAATTTAGGGTTGCAATTTGTAGAACAACCAATCATTTGGAGCCAATAGGAGTCTAGGAATTTGAAGGATACTAGGTTGGGAATAGCAGGCATCAGTTGTAATATTATACAAAGGGATATTATACAAAGAAATCAACAGGTTTTTTTTAATACATTGATATAATTTGGATTAGACAACGTCACCACAATTAAGAGTATATGCTTATAAATGTTCATTCAAAAGTAAATTCTACAAATAGCATTAATTCTAGGTAAGTACATATATACTGTGTTCACGTTGTTTCCATGTCTTATTTCACCGATTCCCTTGAACGCCTTCTACATCAATTTCAGATGTTGGTGTGAGGTTAGTGAGGAGCATTCCTATTTTATGTGCCCCATCACATTGACCTTCCATAACTTCATACTTTCTAGCTGAGTAGTTCTACAATATCAACTACAACTATCAACTATCAAGCTCAGACAGTTCACCCACCAATAGTGAAGCTGGTTGAGGATGTTAGGGATTAAAATCAGTCCAATATATAGACCATGAGATTGGGGAGGAAGATATTATACGATAGAAAAGAAGCAAATCAGCATGGGAGTAAGTCATGAACCTCTAAAATCACTGTTTAATACTATCATTACATATGGAAATGCATTCAAATGCTTTATGTCTGCCTTTTGATCTTTTTTTTCTTCCATTCAATGGTGTCTGATTCTCAAAGACTGTCTGGATATGTCCCTGCAGTTTTCTTTACAAGGTTTTTCAGAAGTGGTTTGCTATTGCGTACTTCCTAGGGCTGAGATACAGTAGATCGGCGGGCCAAAGGTCATCCAGCTGTCTTTGCCTAAGGCAGGACTCACAATCTCTCCAGTTTCTAGCCAGGTTGGAAACTGGGTCTCATTTTTATCTCCATCTGTTTTTTTTAACACATCTCATAGTTACTCAGTTGGCATGCTTTCTAATTAATACCCCCAGTTTGCCAATAACATCGTATTAGTGGTAAGCTTGGCAAAAGTATTTTTCTGGAAAACTGACAATCATGGGTTGGATATGCTTTTGAACAGACAAAGCTGCTATTTATGCATTTGTGCTCTCATTTCACTATTATTATTGCTCCCAGATGTGCAAAAATTCTTTCTAATGTTTTGAAAACAATGAGAGATGGGAGTGGGAAGCAAACAATTGAGCATGCTTACAGGCAATTCTCTCAAAATCCCACTCTGTCCTTTTTTCCATAAAACTCTCGAAAGCAAAGACATAAACCAAGAAAATCTCAACTTACCAGGGGGAGTCGAATGGACCATTGTCCACCCTAAAAGGACCAATGCAAAGTTCCCTCTTTCAAAAGGCAGCCTTTGGAGTCACATTGATGCGTTGAGTCCTTTCTTCTAACTCGGCTCTTCCTCTGCAAGCTGCTTGATGTCAGCGGTGGCTGATTAAATGTGAGATTAAAGGTTTTTGCTCTTTATGCCTCCCTGAACCAGGGCAATGCAGAGATTTACTACTAGGAAAAATACTTGCTTCATTAAAAGGAAATATTTTATTAATGCCCACCTCTTCATTTGGGGCAAACTCTTATAAAGCTGCTGCTTTATAATTTGTAAACAAAAAGATTGAAAACAACAGCTTACTGCTTTCAACATTAATATCAGCATGCTAAGTAAATTGATTGCCATTGTCAATTTTACAACCTAAAATAATTTAACATTCTGTATATTTCAGAAATATTTTTTAATGCATAGTATAGTCCAGGTATCAATTATTTATTTGTTATAACATTTGCATTCTGCCAACTCAATAAAGGGTTTTAACAGTTCACATCAATTCACAATAATAATAACAAAACATAAAAAAAGTTTGATACAGATATATTAAAGATATATTAAAGTTGTGATAAAAAATTATCCATTCTCCCTATCCAGCACCTAACTCAGCAATATTAAAAACTAAAAGCTCTTCAAAACAATTCAGTCTTTACTACCTTCTTAAAAAGCATAATAGACAATGCCATCCAAATAAAAAGTGGTCCTTTCCATTGTGATGGAGCATATATTGAAAATATAGTTTTCTGCTCCCCATCCCTCAATATTGTATAGGGGGGAATCTTCAGAATCCCTCTTGGGGAAGTACACATGAGATGAATTGGCATCACTCAAAAGAGACAGTCCTATTGATTCCTATACATATATATATATATTTGACTTTATAAGTGATTATATAGGATTTGAATGATACTTAGAAGCCCATTGACTACTGAGACAGTACCTGCAACATTAATTTATGATTCAGCCGAACATGAGCTGCTAGACTTTGAGTCAATTGTGGCTTCTTAGTTATCTCCAAAAGCAGACCTATATACTATACTAGCCTGGAGATAATGGAAATCTGAGCAATTGTTGCTAGGGCTTCCTCCTCCAGATAGGATGACAACTAGCACACTAACCAAAGTTGGACAATCTTTCCAGTAGTGGCCTCTATTTGTCCATCTTGTAGCAGATGTGAGCCTAGAATGACTCCTAAGATATCAAATTGCTCCTTCAGAGAGAATAACATCCCATCTAGTGTGATAATTGTAATCAGTCAAGAATCTGATGGCTTCCTGATAAACAATATCTCTGTTTTGCCAGAATTTAAGTTCATTTTATTCCCCCATCCTCAATCCCTTACTGCCTCCAGACACTGTCAGGATATCAACAGCTTCTCTGACCCAACCTCAGGTAATGACTCATACTTGGATATTTGTCATCTCAAGCTCCCTCATATAGATATTAAACAGTAACAATGGGAATATGACTGAGAAGGGTTCTTCTCCCCCATATCATGATTGAAACATCATGTCTATAGGAATGAAATTGCTGAAACAAGTGTTCAACTCCTAACGTAGCATATTATCCAGGAGCATACCAGAAGAACAATTAATAGTTACATTTGGGCTAGATGAAGCATCACTTGGCTGATTATTCGTAGATTGCATAGAGACGAGAACTGTTTTCCATGGTTGTGTTGAATTTTCTCTCCTTATGCTCTTTGCCCAGTCTCCACAATTCATAGGTAGACGTCAGAGTCTTATTGAAGATGCCAGAAAGGAGAGAGAAGCTGCTGCAGCTGCTGCGTCTGAAGCTGCTGAATTAACTGAGACTATCGTCTTTGATGAGAAGGATGGGCTAGCCGTGTTGAATCTTCTGTTCACACTTAAAGGAGGGAAGACTTCACTCCCATCGCGTGCCCTTAAAGTCTTTGAGGTGAGGAGACAGGATTGACTTTTATGCTCAGTTGGGGTAGGCAAATGTTTGCAGTAAGTCAGGAGGCACAATGGTCCATATGAAACACTTTGAAGATACAGAAGGAGGCAGAGACAGAGCTATTACTTGAAGGACAAAGACATTTCCCTCACAAAGTGGTTGCAGTTAGTGTGTGTGTGTGTGTGTGTGTGTGTGTGTGTGTGTGTGTGTGAGTGAAAGAGAGATAAAGATGAGAGGGGAAAAGAAATGAGAAAGAAAGGGTATATTATTCCAGTTTAAGATTCTGAGAGTGACTTTTAAGAGGAGAATTGAAATTAGAAAACTTTCATGGATTGCATGTTCTATTTTAAGTAGTCAGAAAAAGCTCTGGTGGAATTTTTCAACATTTCCTAGATTAGACTTCTGAATGGATACATCCAGGGATACCAGTTCCTTAGTAGGATGTATTGGATGCTTTTTCTCAATATTTACTTGCTTTCCTGTTCAGCCAGAATTGGGTTTGCAAACAGATTCTCTCTAATATTGATCAGGTTAGAAGCCAACGTTATAATAACAAATAATAGTAATGCCAGGAACCCAGAAATTACCTTCTGTCTTTTTTTAACAGGCTATTCCAAAAGCAAAAATAATTACAGAGCACAAGATTAAATGGGGAGATATTTAAACAAACTGAAAAGAAAATTGAAGTACTAAAATGTGAGCTCAGTATCTTTAAGGCAAACCAAACTAATCCAGAGATGGAGAGAATTTAGTTACTCTTTCCATAATTCCTATGAAAGCTCAGAAATGTTGCAGGAAGTATGCAGGATAAGGCCCAAAGGTAATTTGTTATGTCTCTCAGTATTCTTTTTTTTTAAATAAATGATATATTTGTGTGTATATATGTATACACAAATGTGCATGAAAATTATTTTGCAGTCAGTTGAATAAGATTAATAATAACAATACAAAAGAGTGCAAAGATTTGTGAGACTAAAGGACATTTCTCTGAAGAGCATTAAGATCCTTCAAGAGAGATTTTCAGGACTGCAAAGTGCTTTTGGTTAGAAAGTAAACACCAATGCACACCAGGCTTCCACAGGGAAAGATTCATTTCTCTGACCCCTCCGGCACTGCATGTAGAAGATATGAAAACAGATGGGTGTAATGACATTTGCCTGTTGATGAAAAAGGCAGTGGGCAGCCTCGTTTCCCTCTGCTGTTTTACATTATATACAACTAAAGCAAGTGTAATGCAATCAGATCTGTCAGATTAATGCTGAGGTATTGATTGTTCTACATCCCACGTTCAAACAATGCATCTACAAAACATGGAACTAAATTGAATTTATTTGTGACATTGCTGTCTCTTCCCTTGGTCTATCTCTGATTAAGTAAAAATGGCAGCCTTTCCCTTATTCTATCTCAGAGAAGGAGCTAATTTAACTCTTGAAGAAATAGAAGCAAAAGCCTTGTTATTAGGATTAGATAGGGAAGTATGAGCAGGAATTTTGCACAGATGAGAATGTGTGGCATGACTGAAATGTAATATCTATGGCAGAAGCAGGCAGACTTCAGATTTTGATACACCAATTAGAGATGAATTCCAGATGGAGGATCCTGTAGGAAGACATATTCTAAGAATTAAGGAAAGTTGTGAGATATACTCAATCCAGGAATTTTCAGCCAATAAACAGAAGCAAGTTCATAAATCTTTTCATACAAATCAATCCTTGTTTTACCCTAAGTATCTTTTTTCAACAACCTGATGGTTATTTTGGGTGTGTGGAGGTTAAATCATGGGATGTTAGAAATTCTTGCCATTCTATCCCAAGATATACCAATAAATCACACTCTGCCTGTAGATCTTTCAGGGGTGAAAATGTGGAAAGCTTTCTTATTTCCTTATCCATTTCACCCAGAGATTAATTTTAGTCTTAATGAAGCACTTTTTTTTAAAATGAGAGGACTGTAGAACAGCATGTAGGGCTGTTTAACCATTTCCCCTCCTTCCAGTGTGCTTTTCCTGGAAAAAGACACTTATACAGGAGTTGTGCCAATCAAGGGGTTCAAACCAGAATTTCCAGAATGAATTTGTCTTAAAAATCAAAGCACTTCTCTTGATATTTTACATTCAGCACCTTGGCCAGAGCATAGTGCTTGAGCTATTCAAAACCTATATGGAAAATGTTTCAGCTGTCTTAAAAATACCCAGGCTTCAGTTTATCTTGACATGCTTGTAATGATGTAATATAATTGAATTAATAGTGTATTAATAAAAGTAGCATCATTACACTATGTCATTCATCCTTCTCTAATAGCTTTAGCTATTCTCAAGCTGCGTCACCAGTGTTACAAGAATCCTTTGTCTAGCACAGCGGTTCTCAACCTGTGGGTCGGGACCCCATTTGGGGTCGAATGACCATTTCACAGGGGTCACCAAACAACGCAGTCCGCCATTTCCCCCCCCCTTTTCCTTAGCTGCGCTACTCCCTCTTATTGTATTGGCTTTTGAAAGCCCATAGAATAGACTCTCTTGAATAGAGTCTAATTCTATTGGCTTTTAAAAGCCAATAGGAATTGTCCAGGCTGTCTCTGCCCTGCTGAGCCCACCAAAAGTCCCATTCTGCAAACGGTGCTGCACCAGTTGAATAGTCCTCGACTTACGACCGGTTGAGTAGTCCTCGACTTACGACCGGTTGGGGGTCACGGCATTAAAAAGGTTGAGAACCACTGGTCTAGCACATCTTTATTCTTATAGTGCAACTAGGATAGCGGTAGGCTAAAACTATTATGTTCATAATGGTAATGCATTTTGTACTGGACCTTTCTAGCTATAGCTTCTAGTTGTTATGAAATAATAGTTTCCACAAATGATGTATCTGTTGACTTGGAAATTCTTCAGAAGTGATCTTACTGAGTCTAAGTGCAGTATTTCAGACAGTTGACTGGCCAGTATTTATTTATTTGTGTGTATAGGTAATCCTTACTTATCAATTATGACTGACAATTCCATTGCTAAGTGAAATAGTTGTAAAGTGAAATGTGTCTCTGTGCCCAACTTATGAGTTCCAGCTATGATTGTTAGTGAATCCTATGTGGTCATTAAGTGCAATGATACTTGACCTCAACTTGCAACTTCCTGCTGCCTTCCCCATTGACTTTTCTTGTTGGAAATCAACTGTGAAGCTTGCAAATGGTGATCATGTGATTTGCAATTGTTGCGATTGTTTAAATGTATGCTGGCTGCCAAGAGCCTAAATTGTAATCATGTGACTTCAGGGAAGTTGCAGTGGCAACTTTGAGGATCAATTGTAAATCTCTTTTTTTCAGCACTATTATAACTTTGAACAGTCACTGAATGATTGGTTGGTAAGCAAGGACTATTTTAATGAAGGAATGCCTCCCTACAATTGTCTATTCCACTGTATTCCGAAGTTTCTCTAAATATTTAGCCAAAATATACTTTTGTGATATTCCCACCCATTGGATATAGCCCTGTTTTATAGACTAAGAAGAAGCAGGTCTTCCTTATTTGTCCTAAATAAGACAGATTTAATAATAATATATATTGAAGAAACAATGGACCATATATTTAGGCACTGCAAGATCACACAGTTTGGCCACAAACAACAATGTGACAAAGTAGCAACAATGATGCATTGGCATATCTGTAAGAAATAAAATTAGTCTGCAAGCAAAAATTGGTGAGACCTGAAATTAGATGAATAACAAAAAAATGAAATCAAGATTCTATTACCATCTTCCCTCACTTCTTTCCTTTTTCCTTTTATATTCTTTCATTTTTAATACTTCGATTGTATTGAAAAATTCTAATAAAAATAGTTTAAAAAGATGAATAGCAGTTTACTTAAAGTTTTTTTTTTAAATGTAATATTTATTCCTTGCTTTATCTGGGAGGAACCTCCTTTTTGTTTTTTCTCAGTCACTGTTTCCCTTCTTTCTGTCTCTAAAGACCTTTGAAGCCAAAATTCATCATTTGGAAACAAGGCCCTGTAAGAAAGTGCAAGAAGGTTCTCCTGACCTGGAATACTTTGTGAGATGTGAACTCCATTGCTCTGCGCTGAGCACATTCATCAGTTCCCTTAAAAGGGTGTCAGAAGATGTAAGGAGCACCAAAGAAGACAAGTGTAAGAAGACTTTGTAGCTTATATAATATATTAGGAGCAGGAGTTATTGAAGTAGTGGAATCACTGATAAAGGAGAGGGGACCCCTCTTGGGGGAGTAAAAAGGCATTCCAGGTTAGAGTTGAAATCAAACCCCTAGGCCAGGGATAGGCAACCTTGGCTCTTTTATGACTCATGGACTTCAACTCCCAGAATGCCTGAGCCAGTATGGCTGGCTCAGGAATTCTGGGAGTTGAAGTCCACGAGTCATAAAAGAGCCAAGGTTGCCTACCCCTGCCCTAGGCCTATATTTGCTATTTCCCAAGGGAAAGCAGACCACCTGACAAGATTCTTGTAATATAGGTGATCAACAATCAAAGTTTTTTTTTACTTGGGCCTATTCATGAAGTGGTTCTGGTTTGCTTACGCCTGACAATTTCATAAATCACTTTTCAGGTGCCTTTCATTGCAATCGTCTGATTGTTCAACAAAACTTTAAGAAATATATACATCTGTTTTCTTCAAAGTGTAGCGTTACCTCCTCAGAGGCCACCAAAAACCAGGACCTCCCAGCCCCGTCCCCCTTTGTCAAGCCCCGCAGTAGTGTTCTCTAGGGGTTGATAAGATGTCTCTTCCTGCAGGAGCTCATGCAGAATTAATATGTAGCAGGCTCTTGTCATCAAGGAGGGGCTTCCAGGAACAAAAATAACCAGCCACAATAGTCAATGCTATGATGATATCCAACAGCCCAAGGCCGGTATAGCAGCAGGAATAAAAGATTCCTCAGTGATCGTTCAGAGTCAAGTGGGATGAAGGAAAACCGCGGCTCCAGACGGTAGTAGAAACAACAACAGTCAGTGTGCTGTGGCAATAGCTCGTCTCCCAGGGCAACTCCCTCACAATGTCTAAAACCTGTACCAGCAGCAATAGTCACAGTCCAAATAGCCTCCAGGCTTCACAGCAACAATAGCCACCACCAGTCTCTCTCTCCTTCTGTTGCTTCTTCTTCAGTCAGGTTTCAGCGTCAAAACCCTCCACCCCTTTATCTTTATTGTTAAAATCTGAGGCTAGGAGCCTCAGCCAAGTCCTCTCTACACACTCTCTCTCTTGCCTCCGTTTGAGATATCCTCCTTAGGAAGGAAGCAATAAAACTCCACTCTCTCCCTCCCTCTAGCCTCTGTTTAAAATATCCTCGTTATGAAGAAAAGCAAATAAAACTTCCAGTCCCTTTACCTTCACCTGAGGAACTGCAGCAGCCACCCCAGCCCTTTCCTTTTCTCTCTTTTCCTTCCCAAAGCCAGCAGCAGCTGTCCCAATCTCTCCCTTCCCAACCAAGCTCCTGCAAACACTCTCAGACAGCCCTGCTACACAAGGGCTATCTAACTTTCCACATATGTTTCTAGATGTGCGAATCTAACTAGTAAATCTTGTTAATTTCACTGAGATCCAGAGGACTACATCCGTGATCTCACAGAACTTCCTGAATGAAGACAACTCCATTAACTCCCCCCTCCCCAGAGATAAGGTTGTCCTCATCACTCTTGAGCTTCCCTCAAGTTCCCTCATGACTTGTTATGCCAGCAGGGGACAAGTGAACCTGTGAAATGGCTCCCTTCCTATTCATATCACCCCATCTCTTATTCTCTTTCCCTGTTTGAGGTTGCTTTTCTCATTTTTAATTCATTTTTAATCATTCATTATAGAATGGTTTTAGTTAGTGGTTTATTTACTGTTTTTACTGGATTGTTGTTCACCACCCAGAGTCACTTTCTGTGAAATGGTAGCCAGAGAAATCTGATAGATAAATAAATAACCTCAAAAACTGCATGGTGATGGCTATGCTGGCTGTGATTATGAGATCTGAAGTCAAATGCATATGGCAGGGGTTTTCAAACTTGGCCTTTTTATGACTTGTGGACTTCAACTCCCAGAATTCCTCAGCCAGAGTGCCTGGCTGAGGAATTCTGGGAGTTGAAGTCCACAAGTCATAAAAGGGCCAGGTTTGAAGACCTCTGCCATAGGGATAAGATTAAGTTAGGAAAGGCTATTTTAGATTGTCCAGTAGTAACTAGTGCTGATGGATTGGAATGGTTAGAGCCCACCCATCCCCAGTCTGCTTTCTGGTGAGCAGATGACAAACACCCAAATCAGAGCTTCTGTTTGATCATTTTTCCCAGTTCTACTGTGTCTAAGAATGCCTACCCTAATCTTAGACTTATTCTGTTGGAATTCTCCATATTATTCAACAAAAATTTGGTCCTTTCAGCTAGAGATTTGCATTCTGTCTCTGATTTACATTCCAATAAAAGAATGGGGGTAAAAAAATGATTATAGAATTACACAGTTATTATGTGTTGCTAGAGAAGGTACTACCAGATATTAGCAGATAAATCCAGTTCATGGGTTACTAATATTAATAAAAACAACTATTTTATGTTTCTGCTTTGATCTTCTTAGATAAAATTCAACATTCCTACCATCACCAACTCCATCATATCACTTTGTGTGCTTTCACCTAACCTCCTCTTTCTTATTTTGGATTTCAGTTCATTGGTTTCCAAGAAAAATTTCGGAGTTAGATCTATGTCACCATTTAGTTACCAAATTTGACCCTGATTTGGATCTGGATCACCCAGTAAGTAAACAATTTTTCATTATTTCTTTAGGAGGATAACCTAAATGTTCCATTTTATGAGATAAGAAATTGTCATTCTTATTGATCTCAGCAGTTCAACTATAAAGTGATTTAAATTGAGGGAAAATCCCAATTTCACATATACACTGATGAAATCTGAACTGTCTGCCCTGAGGTCATTACATGCTTGTAACAAATGTAAAAAGGCAGATTCTGTGCTAGGGAGTACTAGCAAAAAGATTTAAAATAAAACTGCCAGGATTGTATTGTATTGTATTGTAAGGCAGCATGGTACCTTAACTGCTATAAGCGATACTTTCAGATTCCTTTGTAGCAGCTCTTGCTTCTTTTTGAAACTTCAATAAGAATTTGGCATCTCATAAATAATACTGTTAAGTGCAAAACTGAGATGGCCTTTTCTTTTCTCCAAGGGATTCTCTGACCAAGTATATCGTGAACGAAGGAAAATGATTGCAGAAATTGCTTTCCACTATAAGCAGTAAGACTTGCCATCTTTCCTACTGTTATCTCTATGTTTATTTCTCTAAACATAGTTTTACTTTTCTCCCTTGCCTGCTCCATCACTCCTTCTCTTTCGCAGTCTTCCACCTTGCTTCCAGTGTTCCATGTTTGCCAGTTGTGTGTGACACGATCTCCTTCAATCCATTCACACATTCAAACTTGAATCAAATAACTGTAACCTAATTCTAAATTAGAGTATTGGTTACTTACTCTCTTCTTAGAGCTGAAAGATACTCAGATTTGTGGCCACTTTTAATTAAAAAAAAGAAGGGGCAGCAAGCCAATTGTAAAACAAAGCACCATCCACAAGCACCATCCTTGTGTTTTATCAGTGCCACTTAAAAAAGGGTGCAGCTTACAGATCCCAAATCAGAAAGATGCTTTCAGTCTGGTATGGGTGTACTCACTATAGCCCTTAGTGGGTGCTTTGGAAAACCTGCATAATTGTGTAGCTATGCAGTGCCAGGAAAATACACATTTTTTTTAAAAAAAAAAATGAGACAACATATTACCAAGAGAGCCTCCCACCCAATGATGGCAGCTTCTTTAATGAACTTTTGACAGATGAAGCAAGCATCTCCATGCTGGCTTTGACATGGTTTTTTCATTTGGATCCAAATTCTAAACACCTTCACTCAGAGGCAGTCTTAGAAAAATGATAAATGATAGGTAACTGCAACCGGGTGTTTTGTTTTCCTTCTGGTGCATGAGTAACTTGGCAGCAGCTATGCCCACTATGGCTGCCCCAATCTCAAAATTCCAAGTGGCCCCTTGATTGATCTAGCATATAAATGAGTGCTTCTATTCACAGTGACCATATTTTTCTTGGAAAAAGGTAAACCTGAAAAAGGGGCAAATCTGAAAGAGGTTCATAGGGATTAAAAAAAAACCTGTTGTTTATAATTTTGCTTTATAATGTAAAATTCAATGATAAAAACCAAGAAATTTAATAATTAAATAAATCTAAAGGGTAATTTTCTGAAACAAAGGGCTGTCCTTTATAATAAAATACATAGGTCATGTAATATATATACCCATATTAGAACTAGGTATTTTTATTGAATGATTAGTTTTGTGACTCTAACTATCATCTCTTTTGTTTCAATCAATTGATGCCATTTAGTTTATGGTACTCTATAATCTAGAACAGTAGTGGCGAACCTATGGCACGGGTGCCAAAGGCATCACTCAGAGCCCTCTCTGTGGGCATGCGCACCGTTGCCCCAGTCTTAGGCCTTCAGCTGGGTTTTATAAAACCTTTTCGCTTTAGGCCTCCATCACCACGTGCAAAAAAAAAAAAAGTTTCAGTCCATTTCAACTTCTCGCAGGGAAAAAAAAAGATCTTGCAAAGTTGGAACTGGTTGATTGGACTTTTTAGTCCCACCCAGTCTGCTGTTACCACCACAGCCATGCCCACCCAATGAGCCATGCCCACTCAATGGGCCACACCCACCCAATGGGCCACCACCACCCCTGGCACGCTATGATGCGTAAGTGGGTTTTGGGTTGCAGTTTGGGCACTCAGTGTCTAAAAGGTTCGCCATCACTGATCTAGAATATGGTACTCTGTGACAGATTTCAGACATGACTGGATAATACTTAGTTAAATATTGCAGGACTGGTCTATACTATTTGCTACATTGTTATTTTTATGTACCCGCTCCTTGTATTTTTCTAACAGTGGAGACCCAATTCCTCGAGTTGAATACACAGAAGAGGAAATTACCACTTGGTAAGTGTGAAGGAACCTTTTCTAGATCTTTTCTTAGAGCCTTTCAGAAAAGTCAAATTACTTTTTCTAGTAAAACAGCTGTCTCATCATTTTCATCTGAATTCTTAAGATATCATTTGACCTGTCATCACTCTAGGTCTGAAGAAGATTCTTGCCCAGACATTTGCACTGTATTTTGATATACGTTTTTATATGATTTAAACATCTCATGGTCTTCCACTTTAGTGTAGTGGTTAAGGTACCAAGCTAGAAATAAGATGCCTGTGAATTCTAGTTCTAACTTAGGTACAAAGCCAGCTGAGTGACCTTGGGCCAGTCACTCTCTCAGAACCCAAGGAAGGAGGCAATAGCAAACCACTTCTGAAAATTGCAGTCATTTCCAGGCAGTCTCTAAGTGTCAAGATGGATTCAAAGACATAATGGTAATAAAATAATAAAATAAAAAAGTAAAATAAAATAATGTTTCAATCAACAATCCTAAACAGATTGCCAGAATTCTAAGGTAACTATCCTTTTTGATGCAAATATACTGGAAAAAGATGAATAATACCTTTTTTTTTTAAAGGAGGGAAGTGTATAGTACTTTGAAGAGTCTTTATCCCTCTCATGCCTGCAAAGAACACCTGGATGCCTTTCATTTACTGGAGAGGTATAGTGGCTATAGTGAAAACAACATCCCTCAGCTGGAAGATGTCTCTTGCTTTCTGAAAGGTAAATATGTGGTCATGTTTAGAGAACTGTACATTTTTATGGCATTAACTCTGCTTGAAGCCTTGTACCTCTATGGTTTAATAGATTTGCTACCCAATTTCAGCAGTACTTCTGGGACCTCTAGGGCAGGGCTTTTCAACCTTTTCACCCACTGTACCACTTTTAGGATATGGCAATATCCGAGTACCACCAGTCGCCTATCAAGGTCTCAAAAACTTGATGACCCCCCAAAAAAGGAAAAAAAATGAAGTACAGGTAGTCCTCGACTTACAACAGTTCGCTTAGTGACTGTTCAAAGTTACAATGGCACTGAAAAAAGTGCCCAAGCCACAGCCAAGCAAGACACCTGCCTGCCTACCCAGCGGCACTCTTCCTCCTGTCTGAGGTTTTCATTGTTGTGAGCATTTCTGTTGAGGATTGGCAGTGGGGGTGGGGTGGGGTGGTATTTGGTTTTTATTCCCCCTGTCTGCTGGGTGGTTGCAGCAGATTTTGGTCACTTCACATGACTCTGGGACACTGTGACCATCATAAATATGAATCAGTTGCCAAGTATCTGAATGTAAATCACAAGATGATTGGTGCTTCTTCTGGGCTCGGCAGCTAGAGTCTGGAGCTGATCCTGGCGCTTCTGCCGAGCCCTGACAGCCCTGCACTCCAGCCTTCTCTCGTTCAGGCTTGTGCGGTGCTGCCACCATTCAGCTCATTCCCCTCCTCCACTACCACTTTTCTAGGATGGTCATGTACCACCTGCTAGGTGCCAATGTACCACAGGTGGTACCCGAACCACTGGTTGAAAAGCCTTGTTCTGGGGGGGGGTGAAGGGCAGCAAAAGAGAGTGACCATTCCTGATCTAAATATATAGGACCATGTTTAAAACTCAGAAGTACTGTCCCCTGAATCACAGAGGTAGTGCCTGGAAAACATCATTGCAAAACCATCCTGGGAATTTTCTGCAAATGAAAATACCTATGTAAAGTATATATATATTAAATTTTACTCTTTATCCAGGACAAAATCTATGAGACAGTATAAAACTCTGTTCTCCAATCTCCATCCTGTATATTCATTTGTTATGCAAAATGAGCATTCAATTTAAGTTTTGCTGTCAGAAGAAAATGCTCTATAATATTCTAGGTCATACCTCCTTGGTCAGGTACAGAAAACTGTCTGCCAAGGTTTGGCAAAGTACACTGTTCATAAAAACATCAAAAGATAATTATGGTTTCTTCAAGAGGGAGTTCAAGAGGAAGCATCCAAACTGCTCTGTAAAAAAGCTCAGTAGAGGTGGACATCCATATGGCTATTGTCCTTCCAAAGAAAAAGGATGCTTGAGGAATCCATTCTTTGCTAATCTTGAGAAGAAGGAATCTGCTCCACCTTTTCTGGATTAATGTGTAGATCCAAAGAATTTGTGGTGACTCAACTCAAATTGCATTTGACAGTTGATTTCCCAACAATGAATCATTCCAATAATGATATAGATCTGGAATGAATAGACTTCCAAAAGAATATGTACAAAATTAATAAAGACTAGAAAAAGACCAGAGCAGCCATCCCCAGTAAAGAGATCTTCTAAATAATAACCAAAAGGATCTCACTTCAAAATTGATGCCTGCAGGAAATCATTGGTTTCTGCAGATCACAGTGATTTCAAGAGATTTCTGGGTTGAAGAGATTATTTATAGAAAGTTTCACATTTTTCCAAAAACTTTTGTTCAAAAATCAGAAACCTGTAGTTAACAATATAACTTGGATCATTTGGCAAGACAGCAAATATTCAGACTATTTTACAGAAAAAAACTTAAAAATACACTCACAGAAAATACGTACGATAAATGCAAGTATTCTTTTGTACGACAAAATAATCCTAATTCTTAAAAAAGGAGAAATATATGATACATGAGAATGTATTTATAAGTACATTGATTTATGTAAAATTGTATTATTTGTATTATATTTCTAAAAATGGACAAGCTAGAGTTTATGCTTGTTCATGTCTACGGCAGTTGAGATATTTAAATTTATTTATCACCAAACTACTTATGAATAGTTGGTTGTTTTGTTTTTAAGATACAGCTAGCTCCATAAAACTCAGCACTGGATGTACCAGTGTAACACAAAGTGGAGAACTAAACAGTAGGGCTGTTCATGCTTTGATAATGATTAAGAATAAATGTTTCCATTACCGTGAACATGACTGTTTTCAGACTTACTCGAAAGCCTGCACCCCCACCTTCACCCCAAAAAAGTTGTGGCTGTTTTAAAAGAAATCAAATCATTGAAGTTAATGTGATCTTTAAAGCACCCACAATTTTTGTTAGGCCTTGTGCAAGATCCAGAGCACTTCTCCCAAGTCACATTTGAAGCACATAGAGCCTTACTTTGATAAGACCCAGTTAAGCTCTTAATGTTTGTCATTTCTTAAATGATACAAGTAAATATAAAAGGTGGTTTGGATTGTTTCAGAGAGAACTGGGTTCCAACTCCGACCAGTAGCTGGCCTTCTCTCAGCTCGGGATTTCTTAGCCAGTTTAGCCTTCAGGGTGTTTCAGTGCACACAGTACATCCGCCATGCTTCTTCTCCCATGCACTCTCCAGAGCCGTGAGTACCACCTCATAGAATTGGCTTCTTTAGTGCTTGGCTTGCTGTTTCAGAGTCAGAGGAGACAAAAAAACAATGGCTGTTTTTCTTTCCAAAGGGACTGCTGTCACGAACTTCTGGGGCATGTACCAATGTTGGCTGATAGGACATTTGCACAGTTCTCTCAGGTGAGCAAAAGGTGTGCTGAAGGTACAAACTTTACTTTGCCACTAGAGCAGCCATTGGCCATGCTGACTGGGATGATGGCAGTTGAAAAATAACTCAATCAGAAGGTGCTCCCAGATCAAAGAAGCACCCTTTTAAAAAATGACATTTTCAGCTGCCAAAATACATAAGGGACATGATGATATTATGCATTCAGTCATGTTTGACTCTTGGGAAATCTATGGGCCAAGTCTCTCCACATCTTCAGCGCTTGCACTACTTCTTTGAGTTATTCTATGCTCTGACTGATGTCCAGTCAGTTTGATAGTGTCCAGCCACCATGTTCTTTGGCAGCCTGGTTTCCTTTTACCACTAACTCTTTCAAACATAATTGCTTTCTCCAGTGAATTCCTCCACATGACATTGCCAAAGTAAATGAGATGCAGTTTTGTGATTTTGCCTTCACATAAGGGATCATAGCATTGTCAAAGGTGGATTATATATATTTGTATGTAGGTCTTTGGTTGTTCGGGTTGTTCGGGTATTTGTATGTAGGTCTTTGGTTGTTCGGGTTTTCTCGCGCGTAAAATTGGAAGTGTCTTGGCGACGTGTCGAAACGTCGCCAAGACACTTCCAATTTTACGCGGGAGAAAACCCGAACAACCAAAGATATATATATATATATATATATATATATATATATATATATATATATATATATATTATAAATAAAGAGAGGGCGGGGCAACTAAGGCAGTTACAGGCAATCAGGAAGAGTGGCCCTGTCACGCGAGCAATGAGCAAGCAGTTAGATCGGCAAGGGGATAAAAAGAACTTCCCCACCCCTTGAGCCTCACTCTGAGGATGCTGGCAGAGGACCAGCAAAAGCTAAGTTGTTTTTAACTTTGTATATAACTGTTTTTATTGTTTTAAATATTGTTTTAACAATAAATAACTAGGTTATACTCTTCCCGGAGATCGAAGATTGCATTTTTGAACAAATATGCCCGGGATTTGCATTTTTACAACCATTAAGGAATCCCGGGCATGGATATATATATCCATTGTGAGATTGGCTTAAGGGGGTTAAGACTGGGTGAACTTTAATGCACCTAGTACCTTTTACTTCTCATACTGAAAGGTTTTTTTTTTTTTTTTTTAAAAATGCCAACTCCTTTTCAGATTGCTTATTTAGGTGCCTACCAAAAGTGGGCAACCCATAGGCCACATATATCCCCTGACACTTAATATGTGCCCTCCTCATGCTTGGCAGCTTATTGTTGAATGACAGTGTTCAAATAACCAAATATTGTTATGGTTTAAGTTTCGCCTATCATACTTTTAGCATTATAGTCATTCAGTCACTTAGTTGATTTCAGCTAAAAGGAAGCCCTGGTGGTGCAGTGGTTAGAATGCAATATTGCAAGCTAACTCTGCCCACAGTCTGGAGTTCAATCCAGATACTGTATATTGCTCAGAGACGGTTCAGATAGAGCTATAAAGCACTATGGGGCATTATATAAGTCTAAGTGCTATTGTTAAAAAGGAATAATACTTTGCCAAACATTGGTGCAACATCAACTTCTAAAATAATGATTTGGGGCATGGATAAGATTGAGAGTGGAGATGGGAGTAGTTTCTATTTCCATTTCTACTAAACCCCTCTTTGCTTCCCCCCTCCAAGAGTGCTAATAGTCATCACCATTGTAGGTAATATCACTGTAACACCTAATGGCATCATAGACTTTCTGGAAACTTAAAAGGTAGAATTGTGGCCCAACCCTTCAAATGTTGCCTACTTCTGTCCTAGACGTTCTTAAATAGAATTTTTCCCCTTTATGTTTAATCAAAATCTCATTTCTTATCATTTTCCCCATTTGTTCTTGTTCAACAACAGAAAATGAATCTAATCTATCTGCTGCAAAGTTTCCCTCATTGGATGGTTTTCCTTTTGCTTCTAGGACATTGGACTTGCATCTTTGGGTGCAACTGATGAGGAGATTGAAAAACTTGCAACAGTAAGTTCTTAATTCTAGGATACAAAGATAGAGCGTAATTATCTCTGTGAAATTCTGCTCTCTCTATATATCTTGATTGTAAATGTTGATATGAAATGCCAATATTGGCTATGCTAATCAGGAATTCTAGGAATTGTAGATAATACAGCTGGCAGGGCCCAAATTCGGGTAGAATGATCCGGTATAGGTTTTCAATAAAGGATCAGAAAATAATATTATTAGTAGACACTCTAAAACTCCAGCATAAACATAACAAAGAGAAAACAAACACTGACTTCTAAGAACAAAGAAAAATGGCTTTTTCCCCCCTCAGAAGAGCTTCTAGTTAACTTCCCAAATGCAATGCAAAAAAGGAACAGATGCAATATAAAAATCCCAAATTTATCTGTCTAATATGGAAAAGAAAATTGTTGTGTCCTGGGCCTGATGAGGAAACTCAGCAGGCCCAGAAATGTTGCAAATGGTCCCGGGCAATCTAAAAGTTGCCCAGGACCAGACTGGCTGGCGCCGGACTACTGCACATGCGCAAGGTGCGAAGAAAGGAGGATTATTATTGGCTGGATTGCCTGGGGGTTGGAAAAACTATAAAAGGCCTGCATGCCTGTTTGCTTTTTGCTTAAGGCGTTAAGGAGAAATAAAGAAGTTTGTTTTACGATGTGTTGTGTTTCAATGCCTCAAATCCCGAAACACACACAAAAAATGCTAACCATTTTGAATCACCATTTTTGTTTTCCATCCCATTTTTCTCTGTAGCTTTATTGGTTCACGGTGGAGTTTGGGCTCTGCAAGCAAAATGGAATCATTAAAGCCTATGGAGCTGGCCTCCTCTCTTCTTATGGAGAGCTCATAGTAAGTGTTGCCCCATCTATCTTTATCCAGCTAAACTGAAGCAGCTGCTTCTGAGCTTGGGTGTCCATCAGTTATTCTTGCTACAGTAATTGCCTTATGGGGTTCTCCTGCCTCTCCCTCCTTTCCTTCATTTAGCATTCTTTGTCCGAGGAACCAGAACTACGGGACTTTGACCCTGATGTTACGGCCATGCAACCCTATCAAGACCAGACCTATCAGCCTGTTTATTTCGTATCAGAGAGTTTTAATGATGCCAAAGCTAAACTCAGGTAAGAATTATAATTGGACATATCATTGGAGAGTGGGGACTATATGTCTAGTTACATCAATGCAGAGTTTTGATTGCTACAGATTATGAATGATTTCTTTTTTAACCAAGTTATCAGATGGGAGCTTTTCCTCACAACAAAGATTTTTTTAAAAGAAACTTTTTTACTGTTGCTTTTTAAATGAAATCTAAATTACAACATTGCTAAAGGTGGAATAAATGAAATTTATTCTGATTATATATGTGTATGTATTTACGACTGACTTGTTGATTTACTTCTTTGTTTATTTTTTACTATCGTTCACTGTTCTTCAGCAGGATAGCAAACATAAAGGACTGAGAACATTAAAGCATAAAATATATACAACATTTTAAAATATTTTATATGCAGTGGTGGGATTCAAATATGTGAACAACTGGTTCTCTGTGTGGATGCCGCTTCTGGAAGTCCATTCTGGGCCTGGGCAACAAAAAATTAGCTACCGGTTCTGCCGAACTGGTGTGAACTGGCCGAATCCCACCACTGATTACATGACTATTCCATTCAATAGCACTTATAGATATGTATGCATAAGACTGTAACTGACCACTTCCAAAGAGACATGCTCTTTCCAGAATAACTCCTGCATCCATATAGAGCAGGGGTGTCAAACCTGCAACGTCACGTGATGTGTTGCAACATATGGCGACTTTTTTTCCCCATTGCTGGCAATGGGGTGGGTGTGGTTTCGGCATGATGCGTCTGGTCCACAGGCAGAAATTTTGACACCCCTGATTTAGAGACATCTGATGAGACATCTAGAAAGATCTAACTAGTGAGTGAAGACTTGAATAGCCTTGATAGTGAAATAGATGCTTAAGAAATTATGGAAATTCTAAAATAGATGCTTAAGAAATTATGAAAATACAGGTAACTATATTATAAATCACTATAATGATATGATCTTTTAGATATTCAAACATTTGCAGCATGGATCTCACATTTCATCAGGAATAAATGCTGGTTGCATTATAATGGGTTATGGAATTGGACTGCAATAATGCGAATGACCACTGGATCACAGCAAACTCTTGGTTGTCATTTAATTAACAACTGTTTTTTTCTCTGATACCCCCATTAACCAGGGTATCTACAGGAGTGCATCTCTCCAAATACTGTAGTGTTCTCAGCGAAACTTGTTTTTCAGTAATTATACAGTACATTGACTCATTAAAGATCCAAGGAAGTTTGTGTTAAGGAAAAAAGTAATATTCCATTTGTTTTCATTTCCACCAATATTTTTAAAGAGGGAGATAAGAAGTGTATATGAGTGAAATATATGTACAGGAAAGAACTTCAATGGGCTGATCCATACAGCTCTTCTCTTAACTTGTGAAGATACACTAACTGGAGCCAGATTTTTCAAAGACCATTCTCATCATTTCTTCTAAAGACAATATTTGTACACAGCAGCCAAAGATAAATCTAAATATCGGTATGAACTAGTGATCAAAGGCAAGTGACTCAGTAACACAAAAGGAGATTTGCCTGGCTGTTTTTTTAGGACGACTTAATATTATTTCCCAAAGCCACTAGATGGTGCCATAACATAAATAATCTGGAATTATTAGCTTCCGTTTAAAGTTCCTTCTTTGCCACAGAAGATTCTGTGGGCTACATCTGCAACAGATATATAGATAAAGCTTCATCAGAGGATGAGGGAAAAGGGCATACAATATCATCCCAGCCAAAAGGGTTTTTTTTTCCAAATAAGAGTGATTGTAACTATACATATATGTGCAATTAGCAGATAAATTTTCCAGCTCAACCTGGTCACTTAATTTTTAAAGTGTGTGACTTAAAATTCTGCACTTGCTGAGCTTCTAAGTTTCTAGCCTTTTTGCTATTTACAATTAGTTTCATATCCTTCATCAGTTCAGTGGCTTCCATCCTTGGTCACAAAGTGGCCAGCTATTTTCAATTGTAGCTTTTGGCTCTATTGAAATACATTGCCAATAGATCATCTTTGATATTAGCTGACCTTCGGCAAGCAAGGGACCTGTTGCTTGTTTAGTTCACCTAAGCGTAATGTCGGTTTTTTAAAAATCTCTGTAACATAATCAAAAGATTATAAAATGTAGTGAAATTTATTGAACGAAAAGTGAAAAATTTATTTCTATTTTATATGTAGCAAGGTAGAGATTCCAGCTTGCTTAAAATGAATTTATACTTAGGCAAAGGGCAGGGATAAGTTTAGTTAAATGTTGTATATTTTTAGAGTAAAAAAATGTATGGTTCAACTAAATTAAATGTAGTTGAACCTTATATAGTTAATGATTCTTGACAACATTTACCCTTTGCGCCCAGATTAATTCCCATAGTCCTAGAGAACATCAAACCGAGCTGCCATAATGCTAGATCAGGGGTCTGCAACCTTGACAACTTTAAGACTTGTGGACTTCAGCTATGCTGGCTGAGGAATTCTGGGAGCTGAAGTCCACATGTCTTAAAGTTGTCAAGGTTGCAGACCCCTGTCCTAGGCAATTAATGGCTGTGTTGTTCTCCAAGGTCCAGGCTAAGGAATGCTGCTTTATGCAATATGCCTTTCATTGCTTCCTTATCTCTTGACATTTTTAGTAGCTCTACCTACATTACCATCTTTGATGTCTACCCTCTTCTTTTCAGGGTCTATGCGGCACATATCAAGCGGCCTTTTTCTGTGAAATATGATCCTTATACCTACAGTATTGAGCTCTTGGATCGCCCACAGAAGATCTGCCACTCCTTGGCAAATGTGTGTGATGAGCTCCACTCATTAATTGACGCACTCAACATTATCAGCTAACACAAGATTTGGATGCCCCCCCCTTTTTCCCCCTCCAAGCCAATGTCTTTTTCTGTACCTGCAAATCTGGTTTCCTGCCACGGCTACTACAATCACTGCACAGTGTTTGGGCCAATAACGGCACTATGATTTCTTGTAGGGTTTTGTGTTGCTGTTTCTTGCCACAATAATACCTATGGTGTGAATTGTGCCACACATGCCGTGGTATGGATGCATTTTAGTGACAAGCTTGGTTGAAGAAAGGGAAGTAAATGAAGCTTAGGAGTTTAATCCTGGGTATTTTTTTTATTTATTAATAGAGAGGGATCTGGATTGGACAAATGCCATAAGAAATAATTGCACAGCACACTGTAAATTCCCCCTTTAAAGAAAAAGAAAAGCAATGTGTTCCCAAAACATCCCCCAAATTATATTTTTAAAATTATTTAAAATACGAGAGATAAGCACAGAAGAGACCAAATAGTTTCTTACACTACCAGGTTCAAAACAGTTTAACTCCACTTTCTGACACTCAGTTCTGCTCACTTCTTCCCCCCATGGAAATGAGAAGAACAGCACCCAAATCAAGAGACAGAAAAGTTTTAATTTTTGTATTTCTGAGGAAGGCTTCCATTAAATATCTTGGACAATTTACTAGTTTATTATATTCTCCATGTTTTTTTTCTCTCTCCCCTCCTCCCCCACTTTGTAATTTTGCAACATCTTCTATGGCTTTGTTTTTCCCAGAAAGACCAAACATTCCATTAGTAATTCTCTGTTATGAGCAGAATTCTCCCAGCTCTTTTGCTTAAATGATTTCAGACAGGTACAAGCCTCAGGGGCCTGTCCCACATGCAAAGATTCGACTAGTAACAGGAGCTCTGAAGAATTCCAAGGGATGACTCAGAATAAGGCCCAGTGAACTTTTCTCATCTGACTGGAACATCTTTCTCATCATCTCTAATCTTTCCATCTGGGAAAAATTCTTCCAGGATGAGCCAGGTTTTGACTAATGCACATTGGCTACAGTTCTCTGAAGGCTTGTTTTGTGGCCCCATGAATCTCAGTGGAATCTCTTGCCAAGCCTGTGATGAAGAGAAGCATCGGCTTCTCAAGTCAAAACAAGGTCCAGCACCAATCAACAAGCTGAGCTGACCCCGATCAGAGTCACATCTGCAGTGCTGCTGATGCTACCATGTCTCAGCAGCAATTTTTAACTCTGCAACCCATCATGCTGTGTTACCAGACAGGTCCTACCCAGAGCTTGGCAAATAGGGAGTGTGGATTAGAGTAAATCCAGGTTCAGGTCTGTCCCCATTAGTGCCACTTACAGTAAGAACGATGCTCCTTGGGAAACCTATATGAGATAAATGTTTTCTGCTACAAGCAGAAGAATCCACAGGATCGAGGATTAGGTCTTCTGAACTCTTAGACCCTTGGCAGCAACCATCTGTCCACAAACCTAGAGTGCTGTGTTGGGTAGAATGAATAGCAGGAAATGGCTAATGGATAATAATTCTCCATGTTAAAAGTGCTGATCTTGCTCAGCCGATTTCTAATATCTTTTCCTCCTCTGAGGATGAAAGTGAGTGATGAAATGTGTGGCATAATATCTTGGCACAATGTCTTTGACTTATGTACTTGCATCGGGGCTTTGGCTTGAGATGTCACGTTGCACATTTGGTCATTATTATTATTATTATTATTTTGGTTAATATGGCTTGCATTAGACACTTCTGTCTAAAAAAAACAGCCCTTGATTGCTTGAATGGTTTATAAGGTCCCAAAATGGCTCCTGGGTCTGACCTTAGCAGGCCTACCTGAAGTGAGAGAAGAACAAAGAGCATCACAATGGTGTGATGACTAACATATTCAGTCTGCAGTTTCCCTGTTCTGCTTAGTTCTTAGACTGTTGACTTCAGGGCTACAATGCCTAGCCTAATTGTAGGACATTTCTGTTCCTTACCCTTGCTCCTTGTGCCCTTCACCTGAACAACAACATAACAAAAAAATTGACCACACTTTATTGAAACTGTAGCTTGATTGTGAATAGTGCAACATGGCCAGCTGGTTTCCAGCCTCAGGCCTGAATGGGCATCTCAACATTGAAGTATGCTATTGTTCCAGTACTTTATAAACCTTCTGTCCCCCTATATAGACTTTAACAATGCTGAAATGCACTGACAGCACCCTGCTTAGGGAGCAAGAAATGCCCAGATGTGTCTTAGAACTAGTGACATAAAACTTTTCATTTTAAGACACTTCCTGTTCTAAAGTTCTGTCTATTAGAGTGGATGGAAAAAAAAAGAAGCTGGGTCACTTGAGAAACTAAATAGACATTATATTTTTTGAAAAAGAAAGAACATTTAAGCATGTAGCTTGTAGGATTTCTGTTTTCATTTTTCAGACAAGAAAATGTATAAATATATCCATTCAAAATGAACAGGGAATCATTTCTAACTATGATTGGTTAGGGATACGTACACCTAATTTAAAAAATTCTCTATGGCTAACTATTCAGGTCAGTTGAAATCTTCATTAAATGAAATGGATTTGGGTGTATTGTATACTTCCAAGGTAGTTCAGGTCTCATAAACATTCTATGGCATCTACAGCACCATATTGATGGAATACAAATTATGATTTCCCCCAAATCCTAGAATATTTTTTTACTTATGATAATAGCTAACTACACAAATGTGACAAAAATCTTGCTACCTATTCTATTTTTTTTCAACTTATTTGATCCAGATTGAATCATTCCCAACACCTCAAGCTAACAATTGCAATAGTGACTGATGATGATAGCAGTTTCAATCCACAAATCTGAAAATGCATATGTCTGAATATAGTCTCTATATTCTATGAAGCTATGTGGAACAAGGATGCCTTGAAATGTCCTGTAGAATGGCAAAAGTAGTCAAAACATTCTTCCTGGTGAGGAAAGTCACTGGTTGAATTTCTTCCTGTTGAAAGTGAGACTCAACAGAAGAATGAAGAGATGCTTCCTTTTTTTGTCTTGCTTGGGAATATTTCATGGTACTTTTGTATGTATCTGCCACACAGCTTGAAAGAACAGGTGCCAATACTATTGCTGCTGCTGCTGCTGCTATGTGAAGTTGATCTGTTTCTCTTGCTCCATAAATAATATATTTGTTTCTCATGCAGCTGCTGCTGATTTGTTATGAATAAAATCATATTTCTGGGTGTGCCACCTTTCATTTGTCTTCCTGAATTCACCTGCCATGATTGTCTTATTTTTAATGTACTGATTTCAGAATGGCTGTTTCTGTCATAGCCATACTTAGAGAAGCACCAAAATAACAAAGTATCTCATGAAAGTAAGCAGTTTATTATTGCATAAGGTTTCATAAATCACAGTAGCTTTAATTCAGTTTCTCTTGAGCCGTAGCAATTAGTTAATTAGTTTTTTTTTCAGCCATCCAGTGTTGAAAAGGGACTTTGGAGTTATGCATTCAGATGGACTGTGAAGACCGCAGTAGACTACATTCATCATACAGTTCATTAAGCTCCATATCCAATATGATCCATAAAAAAATATTTGCTGGGTAAACTCTCAGAGAACTTAAATTTCATTCAATTCAAAGATTAAGGCTCTTTGGTTCAGCTAGCCTTTGGTTTCTGTATGTCCAAAACTGCCTTCCAATAGTCATGCCAACCCTTCTGTTCTGAATACTTGATTGTCAAACACAACTGTGATATTGCTCACTAATTTATGTTCCAATGAAATGTATGTTGAATAGTGACCTATACCTTTTACATGTTGCCTAGAATATTCTATAGTAGTCATAAATCTTCCCCACATCACTATTATGAGACCAACAAATTTCTGTTTCCTGCATATTCATAGTAACAACAACAGTACATTCTTCTGAATTGTTTTATTGGCCAGTGTCTATTCCCCCAATACACTCCAACAGTAACTCATAGTGCAATTACTTGTATTCCCATTATTATCACAATTTGGATGAATTATCGTTTGTATTACTTCCTCAGCAGTAGAGCTAAATTGTAAAAGAGAGTCCTACAAATGGTATTGATCTATGGTTGCTGTTTCATGGCAAAGTGCCAAAAAGTCTGAATGGTCTAGTTGCACTTTGATTCATGCTTCATTTTCCTGTTCTACAAGATGTGCCAGTGCTTGTGGATTCAGAGAGAAGCAGAAGTTTATTGTGCAAGGTCAAATTCATTCCCAATGTAGATGGGGAAAAAAGTTGGCATAATCCTGGGGAACTTCAAGACCGAACAAGTAACCACACCACCCAAAGCCCATCCGTTAATATTAGCAATGGTACAAAAACACTGATTAATCAAGAAAGAGATGTACTGAAGCCGATTACTATTTATCCATATCAACCTGTAACAAGAATATCCCACAAAGTAGATAAGATAGAGGTAAGGTGAGAGAGAGGGGTGTGTGTGTGTGTGAAAAAAATCAATATCTCCGTTCTGCTCTATGCAGGTTCCTATGGATGTCCCTGTTTTCTTTGGCTTGTAAATAACCTCAGCCTTCAGCAGTTGAAGGCTATTGGTCTTTCCTGACTCTTCCTTCAAAGTAATCATTTGTGAAGATGCTAAGTTTGATTTCCCTGTGTCTATTATGGAAAATAAAAACTACTTCAGTTGCCCCGCTAGGTGGAGGTTACATGCCCTGTTGCAAGTCACAATCTAATCTCCTTGCAAGTGCCCCCATATTCTTGAATTTCTGTTTCTTCTCAATAATTGCTTTCTTAATTATGTGAAACTCCTTAACACAGTCCAAAGCTTATGCCACCAATCAATTGCTCCACCTTGAATATGAAATGGTTTTGGGTGATGTGAGTCTTTTTACTTCTCAAGCATATCTTTCAAGGATCAACCTGATCAGAAGACTCAACAGCTTCTCTCGCCCAAGGATTGGTTCCCACAGTTTCATGAATCACTAAGAAAGTTTTAGAAACTGAACTGATGAGATGTTCTCTTCCTGAACCCCTGTCATTTTCACCTTGCTTACACCATCACAACCTCCTTGAAATGTGCACATATTTTCCCCACACCAAGAACAAATACACATACTCTGAATCATGCTGGCAATACAAAAGCTCAGCGTTCTTTAAAGCTTTCAAAATTTCTTCAAAATTCAAAAACCTCCAGTATCTCTGAGTCCTAAAATTAATCTCAATTTCAAAAGAAAAATTTCCCAAAGTATAATGTTTGCTGTCCATTGTGTTCCTTGCTGATGATTGTCTGAATTTTCCATTGTTCTTGGGAAGGGGAAAATATCCTCTCAGGATTGTGTTCAAGTGGGCACAATCTCTATAGGAAACAACAGTATACAGTAGGTACTATACAAAAACTGCACTGGCTTGTTTAATCAAACCTTGAATATAATTGTTGCTTTAATATATTTTCTAGTGCTAGTGTGACTAATTGGAGATTCATAGTGCTGACCAACACAATTTTCTCAACCAATGTAAATAGAAAGGTTATCTGAATTACTAAACAGTTACTGAAGTTGTGTTGTAGCAGTCTGACTCTCTAATTCCATAAAGATTTCCCTGTATGAAAAGATAGCAGAAGAAATAGTAGGTGAAAAGAAGAACTAAAATGACAACTATGAAATGGAGAAGCATTTATACTCTACACACAGCCTTCACACATTTAGAATTTCTTTTTGTCTCCTATGGCAATTTGACCAACTTGTTTTCCTTAGTTTTGTCAGGGAACATATTGTAATAATGTAAAAGACAGGTCTGTTCTCAATCTTAGAAGTGTATTTCCTGACCCTTAGTAATGTCACTTCATCCATATTTTGATCTGCTCCTGATCTTTGTCGCATTATTGTTTTAGGCCACCATAGCATGCTATGGGACTTCCATGCACCTGTTTGCATGGAGTGGATATACTTCATAAGACTGAGTATCTAACTATATAATTCATCTAGATCAGAGGTCCCCAACCTTTTGGGCACCAGGGACCAGTTACATGAAGAGAGGTTTTTCCGTGGACCGGAGGGTGTGTGGTTTTGTGTGCTGCTGGCATCCTGCGGATGGCGCTTTCTTTGTTTGTGTTGACTGGTTGCTGGCGTGCTGCAGCCTGGTACTGGTCCACAGACCGGGGGTTGGGGACTTCTGATCCAGATCTTTAGAAAAAATTATTTGCTGAGCAAATAATTTGCAAAAAAGGTTAGATTCTTTTCAAACAAGGTTTATTTCTGGTTCACATAGCCTTCCATTATCTGGAGGACCAGCTTTTCCCCATTGTTTCTGTCTACCCAGTATATTCAGGCAGAGTTGGTGAGCTTCAGGTTCCTTCTATTAAACAGGGTCATCTTATGAACCTGCCTTTTTGTCTAGGCTCTCATCTTCTGGAACAGCATTCCCTAGAGATATGGAAGGCACTCGTTCTCCTGGAGTTCTGAAAACCCCCTAAAACCTGCTTTGATTCAAGATCTGGGGGTTAATGTGTTTCGTATGTCTGTGTCTGTGTGTCTGTCATACTTTGTTTTAATGCTTTTGTTCCAGGATGTTTTAGTTTTTGTGGGTGTTTATTCTAATTCAGTATTACATTTTGTAAGCTGCCCAGACTCCAATAAAGAGGATCGCTACACTAATAATAAGAAAGCAAAAATAGTGATAATAATAGGTGCCTTGTGTGCAATCACAAACAATCTGCAGCACCACTTCAATGCAACACCATTGACAAAATCACCATCAGTCAATTGCAAAACAGTTTATACCTGTAACACCATCAAACAACTTCTGGCTATCTTGGGAAGGACTTGATAGGTGAATAAAAATGCCAAATCCAGTCTAAACATCTGGCTGACTGGATGACCAACTATACAAAATGGATATGACTATTGGCTCACTCCCTATCTCAACACAACTATTGCCGGCATAAATGGGCCCTCAGGCCTTAAGCCTCTAAGGGAAAAAGTCGCAAGCTTCTGAAGAAAATATAACTAAGAAAATCAGCTCTCAGAGACAGATTTCCTGAGCAAAAGTTTATTTTCATGAATTCATTAATTATCTGCTGCACAAGTGACTCCTGTTACATAATAAGAGCTGGGATTCACTAAATAGTAATAATACTAATGAACCTTACCATCAGGCTCTAAAAGCTTTTCAGCTGCTTAAGTGCCTTGTCTTTGGTCATGCTTGGCATTTTAACACACTTCCTGTGAACTGTTTGTGGACACAAGATCTTGGCATTTACAGATGTTTACAAAAGTTATAAAGTTCAGGCTGCTTTTGTAAGTCTCTTGGAAGTGCCAGTCAGGTGTAAGAGAATGAACAGCATATTGGACACCCAACCCTATATGTGCTGATCTCATCAGCTCCTAGGGCATGTGACGTGGGGCAGGGGTCCCCAACCCCCAGTCCATGGACCAGTACTGGGCCGCAGTATGCCAGCAACTGGTCCACACAAACAAGCAAAGCCCCATCCATGGGATGCAGGCAGCACACAAAACCATGCACTCTCCAGTCTGTGGAAAAACCTTTCTCTATGGAACTGATCCCTGGTGCCCGAAAGGTTGGGGACCTCTGGCCTGGGGTGAGTAAGGAAAGGCAGAATAGGTGGGAAGCAAAGATGCTGTAAGTCTGGTGCCCGCCCACATGCAAGGTTTGCACAGATCTGGATCAGGTGGGGTGCAGTAGAAACCTGAACCAGTTCAACTTTCCCACCCTGCTTTAAAAGGATGTTAGAAGAAGCGCTCATTCTCATCACAGATCTCTGCTATATCGGCAGGTTGGTCAGCGATTCTGTGCACAAGTCTTTGGGAATAAGGACAATACTGTACTTAGGATCCATCACCACTGTCCTTTGCTAGCACTGATAAGCGTTGTTACAAAGATGTACAGAAAAAAGGTACTAGAAAGAAGAAGTGCCAATTATTTAGCAAATTAGGAAAGAATTATTTGCCAACTTTTGCCTTCTAATTTTGCCTTCAGGAAAAGCAGATTCTGTTGGTCTATCTCATTCTTAGAGTATTTGAGAATGTCTTCTAGTGGCATTTTTGAGCTTTCACCGCAAGGTGGTAGAGGGTATTAGTAATTTGCAATAGGTACTTCAGGGCATAGTTTTTGCACCACTTCCCACATGGCACTACCCTGTGTGATTCTATGCTATAATCTCTGCTAATTGATTGGATTTGTATCTCAAATCACAGCTGAAACAATTTCCCTTTCAGAACATTG